AAAGTGTTGCATCCTTAAAAACTTGGAAATATATACATTCATGAATTATCTTGTATATTAATTGAAAATCCATAAAACCCTAACAATATTTTTTCTTAAAAAAACTATAAAAATATAAATAAAATTAATCGTTAAATAAAAATATTTGATATTAGAATTTTATTGGAAAAATAAAAAACTTAATATTTTAAAGAAATACTTAAATACTTGAATGTTTTAACTTTTACATTATCATATAGACTCTCAAATTATTAGCCATTTTGGCTGAGAACTATGGTCTGCGAGGTACATAGATAGAATCAGTACCTCGCAGACTATAGTTCTCTATATGGCGCCGAAAAATTTTTGGTGAAATGTCGTCGCATTTCACCAAAAATTTTTCGGCGCCATAGGAAGAATTGGAGGGTGTGAGATACTATTACATGCTATAGTACTCACACCCTCCAACTCCCAATCAAAATCGCATAAAATTTGCTACTTATCTTCAGATTACCTCCCATTATAAAATATATCATTGCTATCTCATTGTACTATATTTCCACCTATGTATTTAAAAATATAAAATTTTTTGATAATATATTTTTATATCTTGAATTTTCAAACAATATATTCACAGATAATATAATGGGAAATCTATCTCAACCTAGCCTTAAAGTACCAAACTCCTGCTTGCATTCTCACTCACAAATATTAAACATCCATCTCCAAAAAACTAAATTCTTCACAATTTTTTTTAAAATTGAGAACATAAAAAACGTATGCATTCAATAATTTAAGATACTAACAAATATTAAAAACTTCAAAATATCAGATATTAACGTTTTTCAATTAAAAAAAATATCATTTTGCTTTTCAATTCGAACATAAATCTTAAATATTTTTAATTAATATCTGATTTACAGCATTATTATCCATTTATAAATCTGACAAATAAATGACAAAACCATCAGAAATACTGTCACTTTTGTCAAAAGTGAAGTCACACTATTTTTCATGCGCAACACTGTAAAGATTCTCATTTCGTCAAATTTGTCTATTAGACCATCAGGACCTTCATACTGCCCATGAAAATATACTGCGAACATAAATGCGTTAGTTCTATTTGAAAACAAAACTCTTCTAAATCCTATTGCCTTTGCATCTGAAGGACTTTGAAGCCAACGAATTGGATAGTCAAACCTGTATGCTCGGGATGAAATTTCTTCATCTGAAATAGTCCTACCAGCATTTGTAAAGATATAGTCTAACGGTTTTGTATCTGCTACTTTTGTTCTTTGTTTTTCAACCTGAAGCATTTAATATATGTAAAAATATATTGTTTTAAAATGGTATGCCATATAGCTTCTTGAATTTGTTAAGAAGTATTTGAACGTATTTTCCATCTGTATCTCTAGTGTTTACATAAGCATAGCCCGCCTTAGTAAAATATACTTGTAATTTCCTATAGTTTACGCCGGTATAAAAGTAGAAAGAGTCTTGTTCTTCGCTATAGTAGTAAAACTCAAACGTATGCTTGCCATAGTCTGTAATTTCAATTGTTTCATCTTCTAGTTCGTCGACAAATTCGAATACAATATCTCCAAATTTGCCTTTGTTCTTATTGTTTTCAGAACGAGTGACCCAACGTAAGTTTTCAAGTCTATTGTCGTTTCTTATATGGTTTATATGGTCTACAAAAGGTAAATTGTTAGGATTCAGTATAAAATGAGTTGCAATGACAACATGTTTAAGATAGTGTTTTCCACCCATCTTCATAATAGCATATCCGTCATTTCGCTCCCATTCGCTTAAAACTCTTTTTGTCTTTTTGTTTCTGACTTCAAATGACTCACAACAGTGAATTTCATATTTCTCATCTAACAAACAAGTTTCCCAACGGTCTTCTCCAACAAACTCAGCGTACATTTCAAATAAAATAAAAAAATGTCACTTTTTTAAAATAAATTTTTTATTTCATGCAATGTTTTATTTCTGTGCTGTCTTCAAGTATGCCCCAATATTTCCTTTTCGATATTACATGAACTTCGGAAAATACCTTATCTAGCTTAAAACAGCCCATCTTTTCACCGACTAAACCCATTTCAATGAGTTTGTTATAGCCTTCTTCGTTCGTCATGAGTGCGTCAATGTTCTCATAGTAAACCTTGACTTTGGATTTGACTTCGGAGAAGAATTTGTTGTAGTTGTCAAGTACTGCCTTTGCGAACTGAGGGTAAGACCAATGTTCGACAATAGGTTTTAATGTGGTTACTAAGCCACTTTGACCTTGAGTGAATTCGTACTTCAAAACAAAAGGAGAAAACCTTTCAACAAAGTTGTCGACCTTCTCATAATGTTTACTTTTCATCTCTTGAGGTTTCTTAATGGAATATCCCCATGTCGAATTCATAAGCAATTTGAGTGTCATTGCAAGTTTGGGGTTTGAAGCTTTCCTAATATCATACAGTTGTTGTATGACTTTTCCAACTGTATAGTTCCTTCCCGGGAACTCACCATCTTCGTTTGGAATTCCAGTCGGAATATATTGGACAAACCTCATGTATGCAGCGTTAAGGTCGACATAGTATATCTTTTCGTTTGAGTCGAACTTGTCGCAACAATTGGTCCAGTTTGTGGAAATTCAAGTGAGTCTCTTATCTTCTGAGAAACTTCTCCTGTTATCTCATAAACATCGTCGAAGCAACCTGTTTTCATATAAAAACCTTCTGACCTAACTCAGATGCTCTCCAATACAATTTGACGTCAATTGGATGTCTCAATGGAAGTTTGTTTATAGCATCTTGAAGTTCTTGCAACCTCATTGGAAGTTCTTCTGGTTCAGGTTGGTATCGAACAAACCAACTCCTTGTGGAAACTGTGTACTTCTTTTGTACTAGAACTTTGTCTGGAACAACTTTTGGTCTTGCTAACAATGAAAAGTTTGTTTCGTCTTTTGGTACAAAAGTTTCTGTCAGCTTGTCATCTGGAATTGGTTCCAACAAACCTTTCTCGAAAAGAATGTTTACAGCTCTGACAATGTTGCACTTACTTTTACCAAAGAATGGTTTGAAAGACTTTCGTTCAACATGAAGTGGTTGTGGACAATTACAATCTTCAACCATGGTAAGTCTTTGTCAACAACATAGTCGTCATGTGAAGAACCTTTAGCTGTAGGTATGTTGACTCGGATATTGACATTTGCCAACGGTGCAATTTTTGCCAATTGACCTCTGAGAATGTACCTTGTCTTCACACATGACTCAAGATACTTCATCTTCTCATCTGAAACAAGACCAGAGTTCCTGAGACATGTAAGAATGCAAGGTTCATTGACAATTGTTTCAATTGAATTGTAAATTCCATACCTTGTCAAGTCAATGTCAGACTTATTTATGAACGGGAAGTATCCAGCATGTTGTCTGACTGCTTGAGGGTTAGGTTGTTACCATTCGAACTTGACACTTGCAATTCCTTCAATTGCATTCAAAATGTCTGAGTCGGAGTCAACCATTGTTCTCTCTTTGTAGTCTTGAAAGCGTCAAGAAGTTTTGCGGCTGTTTGTTCATTGCCATGTGCATAGTAAATGTGACCATCCAAATCTGTTATGGTCAATCTGAGATTGTGTCCTTTCTTATTTCCGTCTTGTATGGCAGCAAGTACACCCATGAAGCCTTCTTTGTTCTTTCCTTCGTCAAAGTTTACTGTAAAGGTTCGACCAGATGTAATTTGACTTCTAACTTCACGGTACTTCTCATATGCATATCTTGTCTTTCCATAGGAGCATGTGTGTCTTCACCTTTTCCTTTTTCCTTCTCAAAGGATGCAATTGTTCGTCATGTTTCCAGTAGAATCTGGCAAAGCCGTCGTGTCCTTCAACTTGAGGTTCACTAACATCGAAAGGCATGTCCATAAGACGTTCTTCTTCTAACCTCTCTAGTCTGTTTGGATAATTGGCACGTGCTGTTTCCAAATCTAATTCGTAGGTCAGACCAGCCAGTTTGTCATAGACTTTTATGGGTCTTCCTTTCTATATTTAAACTTCTTCGAAACTCTCCAACCATATCTTTGTAACTCTGCTTTTATTCTAGCAGACTTTCTGTCCATTTATATGGGGCATTTTTTAAAATAATAAAAATGTTTTTTTCTTCTACTTTACATAACGCCTGCTGCCATAAGTCTTTGACGCCAAACCCATACCAGCTAATGAAGGTTGACTTGGTTTAGTTTGGAAACTAAACTTTGGTTTATCTTCAGTTTTTGGTTTTTCTTCTTCTATCGGTTTTTTCGTCACTTTTCGGTTCCTCTGACTTTACTTCACTTGCAGGAACAGTTGTGTCGTCAACATCTTCATAAATATCATATGCCATTTGTTTTTGTTTTTTCTTTTCAACTTTTTGTGTTTGTTGTAAAGTTTAGAATATTTCGACTCTAAGTCAATGAGATGTTCTATAATGAACTGTTGGTCAGTGAAGTAAACTTTTCCATCTGTTGTCTCGAAAGCTCCTTCAGACTTCAATATTTTTATTTGTGAGAGTCTGTTTCTTTTTTGAGATACTAGCCGTTCCATTTCTATGAAAAGTGACTTTATAGTTAGGGTTTGTATTTCCAGACCTGGCACTTTCTATTATTGAATTTTTCTCTTCATCTGTAAGTTCTTTGACAGGTTTTGACAATGGTTCTGAACTTTTTGTTTGTGGTGTCAAATCTACCGTTTCAACTTCTTCGGTCATTTCATCTCAGTAAAAATTTTAGTTTGGTTTGTTTTCAACTGGTTGTTGTTGTGGAGGTGGGATGGTTCCTTTAATAATATCATTCAGTTTCACATGCTGAGCCTGACTATATGGTATCGGTTTAAATGCTGGAAGCCGACAAATCCATCTTGAACTCATTTGTCTCAATGCTGCATTGTTCATTTCATCCTAGTTAAAAACCTTACATTTCCCAAGTTTGAGGTGGTTGCGGTTGGTTATTGCTTACCCATTGTTGTGCATGGTTATATCCTCTGTTAACGAATCTTTCACCTTGGTCCATATAGTGTCCTGCTTGGTTATAGTAGTCATTTGCTTTGTTATAATAGTTTCCTGCTTGTCTTCCTACATTGTCCATCCATCCTTGAACTTTTCCTCTTGTTTCAGGATTTGGAATAAGATTTGTTGCATCTCGTGCTACATCCCAACCTTTCTGTACAGTTTGTATAATAGGTTGTGCTTTCTCTTTAAGTATACCTAATGTACTCAAAATCTTCCTTCCAACTCCAAATACACCTCTGGCTATTGTTCCCACTGCGGGTAAAAATCTAGATGCGACTCCTGCTAATGCGCCAAATAAACCCATTTCTTATGGGTTAAAAAATGACGAATCCAAACAAGGACCCGTATGTTTCTAAGGCAACAAAGAAAGCACTCATGATAAAAATCTTTAGTTCAACACCAAATGCTTGGTTTATGGATATCTTGGAAAACATTCCGAGGTATAGAGAAGATGGACCACCATACTGGTTAATATTTGTTGGTCAAAACACAAGATACTGTGAAGCCATACCATTACAGTCCAAAGCTATTTTAGATATCTTAGCAGCTTTGACAATATTCGTTGACAAATACCATCCAACAAAACTGACATCTGACTGTGAAAGTTCTTTCAAATCAGATGATGTAAAAAACTATCTGCGTTCAAAAAATGTAAACCAATATTTCATTGTCGACCAAAACCATTCTGCTCTTGGTGTCATTGACGGTTGTATAAAAATGTTAAGAGACTTAAACCAACCACAAGGTGGTGAAGCAAATGAAATGTCATATGACGACAAGTATAGACACTTCTCCCAGGCAAAGATGAGACAAGTTTTAAATATTTACAATAACCGTAAACACAAAGGTTTGGGAAACCACTCCCCCGAAGAAATGAAAAACAACCCTGACTTAGAGAAAGACTATATATTTAATAATTTAGTCAAAAGAGACAAACAAGAAAGAATGCCGGGCTTCAAACTTCAGAAAGGTGACAAAGTAAAAATAGAAATACCTAAACGCGACCCATATGAAAATACTATTGACTATGACAACAATGGGAACCCGACAGGTACTCACATTCGTGTTCGTAAAAATAGAAGAAAGTATACAAGAGAATATTATGAAGTTTTAGGCAAACATGGCAAAATGTACACACTGCAAGCAGAAGATAAAACTACTATTGTCAGACCTCGTTTCAAGCTTGTCAAAGTTCAAGGTGGTATACTTTCAAAGACAGTTCCTAACAAATATAAGACAACTCCTGACGAATATGCTAAAGAAGTTGAAAATGACGACTAAGCAATTCTATACCATGCGTAAACTGTCATGTAAGGTGGCATGTATTCTTTACTTTGTCCCGTTGTTTGCGTATATCCTGAAACGAAATGTGTATGGTTTCCTTCTCCCTGCGTGTTATTCCAGTAACAATTTATAGCAAACTTAACCTCATCTTTAACATCATATCCTTTACCTTTTGTCATTCCTGACCAATCCCAATATCTATGCTTATGCCAACCTGCTTGAGATGTACTTAAATCTATGTAATGACTGTGTGCAGGTAAATTTCACCTGAAATCGTTTTACTTCCACCTGTTTCCTTTGAAGAGTTTGCACAATACAAAAACCTGTCGACTATTTGTTCCCATGCACCAACACCAAACATTACTTGAGGACCTCTTGCATCCATAGATGTATAAATAGAACCTACTGGGTTCATTAAATCAAACATATGAGATATTATAGGATTGTCTCTTTTGAACTTAAAATATAGTGCAACTATTTCAGGTTTCTTCTGGTTTGTGTCAGAATATTTTTTATAATATAATCTTATGTTTTCAGGGTAGGTAAAATCTTGACTATAATATTTATTTCTGTCATCTGTATAATAATATACTATTCTCGTTTTTTCTATTGCATTATATCTTTTATATCTATAATAATCTAAATATAATGTTAGCTTTTGTTCATCTACATGTGGTGTTCTGTCGTCATCTCCATAGTCATAATAATGTGGTGCCGGAGCTGGGTCAGGTAATATCATATCCACCATTTCATAAACTCTTAAATATTTCTTTTGTTCGTCTCCATATAAGTTTAAGTAGCAGTTGTTGTCTAATGGAACTTTAACTTGTGTACCATCATTCTTTTTATAGCTTACATACATTTCATTGTTATTTTTCGGAATGAGTTTATACCGTGTACCATTTTCTAAAGACTGTACCAACTGCCATCTAAAATATTTATTTTCTTCATTGACAGAAAAGTCACCAACAATAGTTTCAATATTTTTTGTTCCTATCAAACTTTGGTATATTTCATTGACATATGTTTTATCTGCTTTATTTTCAAGGCTAACGTTTAAGTCTGTTATTTCAGAAGATGTATGTGTATGTCCAACGGCACTTTTCCTGTTTAAGGTTTCTTGTAAGTTTGTAATATCAGATATAGAATGTGTATGAGTCTTATTTGCTTTTGTCTCTAATGTTTCCTTAAGACTTGGTATTTGGTTAATATAATGTATATGAGTCTTTTTAGAATATTCGTTTTCAGCTCTTGTCACTTCACTTGACATTTTATTGTCAACATATGTTTTGTCTGCTAGTTCAGGATGAGTATGTTCTTTTGTTGCATAAGCATTGTTAGCTCTTTCTTCTTCTTTTGCTATTGCATCGTCTACATATTCTTTGTCAGCTTTGTTGTCAACATCTGCTTTCAAAAGAAGTTCATTTATAGGTTTCTCGTTTAAAGTTCCTTTTGTTGGATTTATACAGACAGTATGGTTCTTATTGTCTTGAAATAGAAACCCATCTGTTATAGGGTTTAATGTCAGTTTTAAGTTTCCATCCTTTAAAGTTTCAGATATCTTAGAATAGTTTGAAAAGTTTGTTGTGTTCTTATTTAGAGCTTGCATAATGAGTTGTCGGTTGTGTTGTATTTCTCGCATAGACGCTGTTTCATTTGACATTTTTATTATAGATAAAACATGCTTCCAATAGAAAAAGAAAATTCTAGAGTTGCTACAACTAAACCATTAGATGAACTTTTTACTAATGTCGGTCAAAAGTTTGAGACAGATACCGTAAAGCATGAAGGCTATCGTTTTGACTACCCATTAAGATGGTTAAGAGACCCATCTGTCACAAAAGCTATTGGCTTTCGAAAGAATAAAGTTTGTGTCTGTAGAAGATAAAAGTTTTCCATTTATTGTAAGGTTTCATATAGATTATACATCTGAAGGGCAACGAAAAATGTGGGAAGAAATTGAGCTAATACAAGTTGACCTCTCATCTTCTCTACAGGCTGCATTAAAAAATATAGAAGATAAAATAAATTCATGTTATGCAAAATATGCTGATGAATATGCGAATACCGATAGCACACTTTATCTGAGAATTGTATATGACAAACAAAATTCACAAGTGTCATTTCAAAATCTACGAAGACAATCCAAATAAAGACGAACAAATATATACAGAATTCACTGCAATGTCATGGTATTATTTGCAAAGAATGTTAAATCAGAAAGTTGAACTTCCTTTAGCAAATATCTACAGTCGATATGCAAGAGATGAACCATATTTATTTAAAGATGTTTTCGACCAAGATGCTGTGATAGTTCATGCTTCATTTTCTGGCGCCCAAAACTCTTTCTTATGCTTGGCAAATGACTTTTACGAAAAACCTACAAAGTTATACGAACCACCAAGTGGAAGTATTTCAGACTTTCAAGTATGATTTACTACAGATGGAAGAAAAAGAATAATTCCATATACCATGCGTTTTACTTAGAAACTTAGTTTCATATACAACTACTATCGAACGGTAAAAATATAATTTTTTAATATACCGGTTGTGGTTGCCAACTTGACTGTGGTGCAGGTTCAGGCTGTTGTATAACAGGAGCTTGTTCTTCTTGGTTAAGGGTCTTTAGGTATAATACCAACAAACTGACCTACTCTTTTACCAATATTTTTGACTCCGTTCCAAATTCCTTTTCCTACGGTTTTGACGCCATTCCATATACCTCTTCCAACTCTTCTGAAGAAGTTTCCAATACTGAAGAAACCCATTTCTATCGTGTAAAAATCTAATGTCCGCCTAGTCTTTTGCGTTTCCTGTTGATTTCCATAGCATTCTTTAACTGGAGCTCATACATTCTGTTTCCTCTGGTAGAAAACATATTCTGGGTCAACTCCTGTGTTTCGCGTCATCTGCATAAAGTTGTTTATATCCCACTTCAGGGTTTGTATAAAACTCTTTCCTCTCATATTTGCATACCATGGGTGGCAAACCTAACGCGCAGCGTCATTTGACATGGCAGTTTGCATTTGTACATCTGTTGGCACTTGACCATAGTTTGCCATTGCAGTTTGTATTCTAACTCATTTTTGGAATATTCTCTGGGTTTGGTTGTCCAGGTTGCTGTGCATTCGCTAAGTTCTGTGCGTCCATTTAATATTAGATAAAAATATCTCTTACGAGTACATATGCTGAACATTTGCAGGCATTGGTTCATCTTCATATTCTCTGTACTTTTCTGCCACATCAAATAAATAAATGACACAATGGAAAAAACCTAAAACAAGTAGTCCTATTTCAAACCACATTTACTTACTAATAAAATTTCTTTGTTATGAGACTTTCTCCAGTTTATAGGACCTCTCTCATATTCTATCTTGTCATATATAAACTCATAGTCATGTATGTCCTCTAACCATCTCATAAAGGTTTCCAAACCACTTTTATCGGATGTAAAGTAAAAGCATGGATGGTTATGTATAACGTCTAAAGTTTCTAAAGAGTCTCTCAAAGTCCAGTCTACTTGGTATTGAAAATTCCATGTGTTATAGAACGGCGGGTCCACTATAAAGAAAACATTTTCCTTGTCTTTATATTTTTCATACAACTCTGTCCAATGACATCTCACAAACTCTATACCCTCAATATATTTTTCTATGTCTTCTTTGAAAACATTTGTATAGTTAAGATATAAAACTTTTGACATAAGTGTTTCAATGTCATGAACTCTTATAGAACCACTATATAATAGTCTAGCAGATATACTATCCCAGTCTATATATTCTGCTTTTTTCAAAACCTCTCTCACAATATTTTTCTTATCTAATGGTATACGTTCGAGTATATAAGAATTTCCGAAAAAGTGACACCCAAAAAGTGACACTTTCAATAGGGAGTAACACTTAAAAAGTGACAATTTAAAATTCACAATAAATAAAAATAATAAATTTTTTAGTCTATTAAATTATTCTTTTCTTTGAAATCCTCTAAAAATTCTTCGAAATGTTCTAAAATATAATCTGGAGAATTATAACAAAATTCATTAATTTCTAACATATACGTATCTAACAATTCATTTGGAATTTCAAACGATCTTAAATATGTAATTGAATTTTGTATCTTCTCATTTATTTGAGAAAGTTTTTCTTCAGCATTTTCCAATAAAAATCTTAATGGATTCAAATTGGCTTCTTGATTCTGAACAAAATTTAATACTTGGTATAAACGTGATTGAACTTCTCTTTTCAATTTTGTTTTATAATCTGTCAATCGAGGCTCGCGAATTCTAATTGAAGGAATAAAACCTGTTTGAAGTAAATCGTTTTTAATACGATAAAAGTAATTGGGTGCAACTTCTTCTAAAAGATTTTTGACAAAAACATCAATTCTTTGATTTTTAACGCAGCCAAAATCGTGATATTTTATCTTTTTAAATAAAGATTCAGAAACGTTATTCACAACGGTTAATTCATTTGGTCTG